GCGGTAGCCCCACAACCCAGCCCCAACCCAGCCGCTCCTGCCCCCAAACATTCTCTTTGTTTTCATTACTTTTATTACTATTTTAGCACTCTTATGTGATTTGATTGCTATTTTTGCCTTACCGTGGCTTCTTTCGTCTAATTAGGTGTTGCTTTGATTGCTAACTACTTGTGCTACTACTGAACTCTTTTATTGTTATTTGTATTGTTGCTCTTCTCTTCTTTAGCGGTGGTTTGCAACTACTTTTTTGTGTTAGTAGTCTCGTCTCTGCTTTGCTTTTTGGTGCTGGTGTGTAGGTGTAGTGGCGAGGGTTAGCAATGTAGCTCTAAGGTCATATCCCGGGGTTGGGGCGGGTGTGGGAGGTTCTCGGGGGGGTAAGGTAGTGTCCCATGTGCGTTTCAGCTCATGGAACATAGGGACCCTCACGGGTAAGTCAATTGAGTTGGTGCAAGTTCTCAAGAGGAGAAGGATTCAGGTGGCGTGCGTATAGGAAACCAGGTGGGTGGGCACTAAGGCACGAGAGGTTGATGGTTTCAAACTGTGGTACTCAGGTTCAGCTAGGGGAAGGAATGGAGTCGGCATTCTGGTGGCACCGGAGCTGCGGGAGTTTGTGGTGGAGGTGAAGAGGATTAGTGATCGTCTGATGTTTATCAAGTTGGTTTTGGGTGGGTGTACGATCAATGTCGTGAGTGCTTATGCCCCGCATGTTGGCCTGGCAGATGAAGTAAAGAGGGAGTTTTGGGACGCCTTGGATGGGGTGGTTGTTGGTTTTCCACTGACTGAAAAAGTCGTCATTGGAGGCGACTTCAATGGCCATATTGGAGAATCAGCCGATGGCTTTGAGGACATGCACGATGGTTTTGGATTTGGCAGCAGGAACCCAGCGGGAGTTTCACTCTTGGAGTTTGCTAGAGCGAGTGATATGGTGGTTGCTAACTCTTGTTTCCCCAAACGAGACGACCATTTGGCTACCTTTGTTAGTGGAGTGGGGACGACACAGATCGACTATTCCGAGTGAAAACGTCACTACCCAACACAAGCTTCTCGTGATGGATGTTATGATCAGGTGGGAGAAACATAGGAGAGCTTCGAGTGGCAACACACAAATCCGGTGGAGGAGACTCAGTGCGGAGAATATTGCTGAGTTGACCAAGCGAGTGCATGAGAAAGATGCGTGGGAATCGACCGGAGAGGCTACTGATATGTGGGTGCGGACTGCTAACTGCATCAGGGAAACAGCCAGGGAAGTGTTAGGTGTGAGCTCTGGCTCTAAGAGTAGGCATCAGGGTGATTGGTGGTGGAGTGATTTAGTCCGAAGCAAGGTGGAAGCTAAGAAGGTGGCGTATTTGAGGTACATGGGCTGCAATGTTGAGGAGGAAAGAGCGGCGTTACGAGTGGAGTACAAGAAAGCACGTAAAGAAGCTAAGTTAGAGGTAACGAGGGCAAAGAATGCCGCTTTTGAGCGCCTCTACAAGGATATTGAGGAAAAAGGCAGTGTAAATCCACTGTTCCGGCTTGCTAAGGTGCGTGAGAGGAAGGCCCGAGATCTGGATCACGTGAGATGCGTGAAGGGCAGCGATGGTAGAGTGTTAGTTGAGACTGCCAAGGTGGCTAAGCGCTGGGGGGAGTACTTTAGTGAACTCTTAAATGCGGGAGGAGACCAGAGGCTAGGTCTTGATGAGTTGGGACAACCTGGGGCGTCTCGTGTGTATTGCCGGCGCATTTGCCTGGAGGAGGTGGTTCGAGCTCTCCGCGGGATGCGTAGTGGGAGAGCTTTGGGACCAGATGAGATTCCAGTGGAATTTTGGAAGCACGCGGGTCGTGGTGCGTGGGTTTGGTTAACCAAACTCTTCAATGTTATCCTCCGGACAGCAAGGATGCCTGATGAGTGGAGGGAGAGTCTCTTGGTCCCTCTGTTTAAAGGGAAAGGTGACATTCAGAGCTGCGAGAATTACAGAGGCATCAAACTGCTTAGCCACACCATGAAGGTTTGGGAGCGTATCATTGAGTATAGGGTGCGGAAAGGGGTTTGCATCTCTGAGAACCAGTTTGGTTTCATGCCTGGCAGATCGACTACAGAGGCCATTCATCTCGTGAGGAGGTTAATGGAAGAATATAGGGCTAGGAAGAAGGACCTTCATATGGTGTTTATTGACCTCGAGAAGGCGTA